TTTGATTTTCAAAAGAAAATCAAATTCAAGCCTCCGGCCCATTTTTCTATCTGCAGCAGTCCGGACATGATTGGAAATTTTTTTTTTTTGCAACCAAGTCCATTTCATTCCCATTCTTTGCATCCAAGTCCAAGCATAGCTTCCTTGGTGTATTTTTTATGGGCTTTGCTCTTTGGGCTTCAATCATTTTCCTCTTTTAAGCTTTTGCTTCATGGGCTTCTAAAATGCTACAAAATAGAGAAGAGAGATTTTTAAGGGGTTTTTATATTTAATAATATTTATTTATATTTTCATTTATTTATGTGCAAACTAAGCTAACAATAATTATTAATGGTATATTTATTCATGTAGAATAGATAATTAGGGTATAAAATTGTAATAAAAATATGATTATCACCTGCTCTCAAGGAGTTAAACCAAGCTCATTTTATGAATATCAGTCAACAAGTCCTAAGAGCCAAATCAGAATTATGTGATATACAATTGAGACTGAGCACATATTTGTTCAATTCAGATCTGATACTTAAAGAGAAGGAATGCATCAAGAAGTATACTAGATTGATGGATTGTGAAAACTCTTTCTATAGTCAAAAAGCTAACATTAAATGGGGATTGCATGCAGATAAGAGCACTCATTTCTTTCACTCAGTCATGAATGCTAAGAGACACAAGAACAGGATTCTATCTTTACATACTGAAGCTAGCACTAGGCTTTCTGATAAGCCTGATATTATATCAGAATTCATTCTTTACTACAAGAATTTGCTAGGGACTGCTAGGCATACTACTGCTCCTGGTCCTAGTGTGATCTCTAAGGGACCAATTTTAACCCCTGACCAGTGTAGGAATCTATGCTCTCCTGTTACTAGAGAAGAGATAAAGCTTGCATTATTTTCTATGTCTGACACAAAAGCCCCTGGCCCTGATGGTTACAATCCTTCCTTTTTCAAAGCTGCTTGGGGTGTTATTAAAGAGGACTTATTTCAACCTGTTGAGGAGTTCTTTCATTCAGGTAAGTTGTTAGGCACTTTTAACACAACAACAATTACTTTGGTACCAAAAATTCAAAATCCCAGCACAGCTTCTGACTTTAGGCCCATCTCATGTTGCAATGTTACATATAAAATTATCATTAAGATAATTGACGGCAGGGTCAAAACTGTCTTGGGATATCTTGTTAATGATGCACAAAGTGCATTTGTAAAGGGAAGGCTTATCTTTAGCAACTTTCTGTTAGCTCATGAGCTCATCAAACACTATGGAAGAAAGCATAACTCTCCAAGAGCTGTCCTAAATATTGATTTGAGAAAGGCTTTTGACACTATCAGCTGGGAGTTTATCAAGTCTATGTTTACTGGTTTGGGGTTCCCTAGCACTATGATTAACTGGATCATGGAGTGTATAACTACACCAAAATTCTCATTAGCAATTAATGGAGAACTGTATGGCTACTTTTGGGGAGCTAGGGGTTTAAGGCAAGGGGATCCCCTTTCCCCTTACCTTTTTGTCATTGGTATAGAATATCTGTCAAGAAGACTAAGTGTTTGAAAGATGATAGATTGTTTAAATTTTATCCAAAATGTTCAAGGTTGAGAATTACACACCTGATATTTGCAGATGATTTGCTTTTATTTAGCAAAGCTGACTTGTGCTCAATTACCAAAATAAATACATGCCTTCAAGATTTCAGCTTGGTTTCTGGTCTGGAAGCAATTAAACTTCAGCAAATGCTCTGTGTATCTGAGTGGGGTTGAGGATGACATCAAAACCCAAATTTGCAACTACTTAAAAATAAACACATTATTTTTTTAATTGATTAAGTTAACTGTTTCTTTACGAAGGTTATTATTTGTTTTATTTGATGATATTTGTGAGAATATCATGTATTAAAATAAATGATTAAAAATAGATGAATATCATTGCTAAAATAGTTGCGAGAGCAAGCAGTAAATTTTTTTAAAATCCTATAGCAGCGGTTTTCTATTGTTAATATACCTTAGCCGCAGTTAGGATTTTGTTGTTGTTGATATTTTATTTTTTTTTAAAATAAATATTAAATCTTATAGTAATTGTTGTCTTTTGTAGTTAATAGACTATAGCAACAGTTAGGATTTGCTGATGCGGATTTTTGATGTTTTTATAAAATTAATCTAATAGCAATCGTTGTTATATTTGCAATGAGTTTAGATCATTCCAATAAGCTAATTGCAATGGCCTTAATAGTAATAGATTATTTGCAAACGGTTTTAATCATTGTTAATGTATTAAGAATGGTCCAAAACATTGCTAATAGGCTTATAAGCAACGGTTGGAACCATTACTACAAACTTTTGTAATAGTGCAAACCACAGAGGTAAACAAGTCATAAGTGGATCACAGCCATGAGCTATCATGGGAAGATCTAGTTGGGATTCATCAAGTGGTCCCTTAGCCATTGCCATGTAAGGTTAGCATCAATGTTACTATCTTGATTGATTTTATTCTACCTTTGTAACGTACTTTGAATGGACATATCAACTGTAGATGATTGTTGTGACCTTACCCTAAACTACACTGGATTTAACTAATCCACGCATTGATCTTAAAGGAAAATATTATAGGCTATCACTGCTTTTGTATGGTCCTGAAAAGTATAGAATTAGGCTTCTGAAGGACTACACGAAAAAGATAAAGTTAGTTAAACTGACCAAACTAACTATTGAGAATGTGGTACAAGCTTTTGGTTGTAACAAATTAAATTAGAGCTAGTTAGGAAAATAGTTAGAACGAATAACTTCAGATAATCTTTCTCATATATTCCTTTAACCAATGCCTATGTATCAACTTGTTTATTAGTACTTATCACCCCTTAATTTATGGAAGAGAGGGGGTCATATATATGCAGGTTATTAATTTTTTTTTTCCAAACTACCAATCATAGGGCTGATAAGTGCAAATAAATGAGCTGAAGGATTATGAATTCTACGGGTAATATAGAAAATATGAGTAACCTGCAAATTACTAAGTTTGAAAAATATCCAACATCTTTTATTTATTAGTGCTAGCTAGCTGTGATGTCGCTCTGATAGGGATATCAGAATTTATGCAGAAACCTTATAACGGACAAAGAGCAATCAAAGCTAGAGAGAGCAATCACAACAGTTTCGTGGTCGGGCGATGTGCCTGAGTCACGAGATGAGGAGGAGGGGTTGTTTGCTATTTTTCAGAAGATTACAGTACAATTCATAGTTCTTTCAACAGAGGGCTGGAGTTGATGATAACGGTCAGCGCTTACAATTAATAGACGTCTGATTCCGTTTGGCTTAATTTAATGCAAATCATAGTCAAGAATATTTATATATATATTTATATAATTCGCATTGTTAGTGCATACAATATTTCTAACCCTCAAAACATTTTTTATTTTTGCAGAGCTATATATATAGCTTTTATGATCAACATATATATATTTCTTCTTCAAAGGTTAATGTGATGGGACTATGCGGACCAAGGCTGCTCGCTCACCTTGTCTATCCCGCCATCATCATTCTTCATAGTACAAGTCTGCCATATACAACTCAAAAATCCAAATATCCCATAAAGCAAAGGAAAAGGCAATAGAATAGATTCCCAATATATATTTAGTTAAAGATGCATTATATATGTTACACATCACATAAGAATCATGTGCCTTAAAATTTGTTAATACAAGCATGATCATCTCTCTCTCTCTCTCTCTCTCTCTCTCTCGATAAGATGGCAAATTCAGCGGATTTGGAGGATATGTAGTGTTTGTCCTTTTTGCAGCTGTAGGCTTTCTGGTATTGGATGTTAGTGGTGGAGTATGACACCTAGCAAAGGTGAGCATATTCTTTTGTCCTTGTTCCATATCAAGAAGGCTGAGCTCAGTTTGGTAACTAATCGTACCTACAACCGATGACCTACTGAATTACCTCAAACTTCCTCTTTTATAGATGCATTATTTCTCACCTCAGTCTCAAGCTCATTCATAACTAATCAAGTTATCATCATGAAATGATGTTTTATTATTATTATTATTATTAATATTATACTTTTGAAGAAATTATGAATACGAGTCCAAAATTTATTTGAAGGAGATCAGTTGACTCAATTTCTTACAAGAAATTGAATCCAATCATGTCTACTTACATCGCATTTGATATAGATATGTGCACTAAAAATTCATATAAGCTTCTCGATGCAACATTATATCCCTCCGCTCTGATTTATTGCAAAAAGAGCTTTAAAATATAAAAAATAGGCATGCAACTAGACCAACATGCCGAAAAAGTCTTTTGTCTTAGAAAGGGGGAAAAAGTTTGAGAATATGTTTCAACCTCTCCAATAAATTCGGCTTTATTTTGTGTAAAAATATCTACATATATAAAAAAAAAGTATTGCAAGTTGTATGTGGTCCATCTTTATGGTGCATTTCTTAAAGAAGATGTACACTTGTTGGTCCCTGGCCTATGTTATAGCCTCTAGGGTTTTTAGTACATCCACAAGCTCCTACAGTACTCATGCTTATACTTTTACACTGCCTGGACCACTTGAATGTGAATTATTTTAACTGCGATATTATTTTTTAGTATATTGTCCACAATTTGAGTTCATATATGTGAATATTTTGTTGTATAAAAGTTTGGTGGTTATTAGTTTCTAAGTACTCACTCATATAAATACAAGAAATTGCTATTACAGTGCAATATATGATAAAAGTACTTTTAGTGCAAGGGTATATATATAGTGATCTTGATGTGCAAAGGAGTAAGCATATCTTCATTTCTTTTTGACTAGTGATTCTCAATTATATATATATCCACAATGATGCAAAGATTCCTTTATAGGGTTAACATGTGTAAGAAACTAAATACAGTAAATAATTTGGATTACATAAGAGGTAGTTAAACTATGTTCTCTTGTCAATACAAGGGTAAACCTTGTGCAATCCATGTGATGAAAAGGCAACAAAATTGACAACTACTTCCATTATTGATGGGTCTAAATAGCCACCACATGTTTGTAAATGCGCTATACACCCTTTTCCATTTCTAGGGTTCCTAAAACTCAAAGCATCTTTCCTTTCCTCATATCACATATAGGTCACTTTGAGAGCTCAAATTCTGGAAAGAAAAATAGATTTCAGTCGGTTCTCAGTATGGTACAATAGAAGATTTATCTTCTTCAAGTGCGACATAGAGCAAAGTACGGTTTTCCTACTCTTGAGCTTCTTTTGTGATTAAAGCAACAATTCTTCATAAAGGTTCAAGTGTTTTGTGCAATCTAGGCATTTACAAGTAAGTAGATCTGATGCCACAAAATTCACCTTTTCAAGAAATAAGTCGATGAATTTGTTAATCGCTTTCTTCTTTAAGTATTAATTTTCATATTAATATTTATACTATTTGTAAGTGCATAGATTTATTTGCTTAGCTTTTCTGATCTTGATTTTGTATTTTTATCATGGGGAACCAGTAGATTTCCTATACATGTCTGAAGAGTTTTATACTATCATCATTCATGGAAATTTATTTTTTATTTTCATATATGGTTCTCCATAAGATTTAGGCACTCCATGAGAGCAAGTCTTGTAGTTTCTTGCTTTTGCCATTCATCTTGATTTTGATAATATATGCACTCCATGAGCTCAATCTCTTGGTGAAAGTATAGTTAACTTTTTTTTTCTTTAATTGACTTCTCTCTTAAGTTAATAGATTTCATAAATCAGTTCCTTTCAAATTAAAAGAAAAACCATTTGATTCCTATGGAAAAAAGATCTAACTTCTTGAATTCTTTCTTATAGGTATGGCATATGATAGGTGTTGATGTATAACTATTTGACTTTAATGAGGAATGTGATAGAGATTTTATATTAGAATCAATGGATGTAGTTTACCAACAAAATGCTTTAGTATCAACTTATATATATTCTTTCCATTCATATGTGCAGTAGAAGTAGATCTCAAACCAAAGATATATAAATTTTCTTTCTATTTAAATCTTTATTCAGATAAAATGTTAAATTTGTGTTTATTATAGTTTAGTTATTTTATTTCTTATGGTTCATAATATATTTCTCATTAATGCTGACAGTTGAATTTGCTGGTATGATATTAAATATCTACTGGTATTTTGTGAATCAGAAAAAATTCCTGAACTCCACTAGTTATAACAATTGATTTTAGAAGATGAGAGAAGCATACAACAGAAAGGAAATATCATCAACAATTCATTCACCTCTTTGCTATTTGTGATCAAAGGAAGATGATAAATAATCGAAGGGACAGAGATCTTCAAGCTAAAGAAGAAGGTGATCAAAAAATTCCCCCAACAAGCTCTTCAAGATTATGGTCAGGGCTAAAGAATCCAAGAATTGTTCGTGTTTCACGTGCATTTGGAGGAAAAGATCGACATAGCAAAGTAAGCACTATAAGAGGATTGAGAGACCGAAGAGTTAGGCTCTCGGTACCAACAGCAATTCAATTGTATGACCTTCAAGATAGGCTAGGGCTTAATCAACCTAGCAAAGTTGTGGATTGGTTGATTAATGCTGCTCAACACGAAATCGATAAGCTCCCTCCTCTCCAAATTCCACCAGAAGGCTTCATCCAACTTCCACCGCAAGTTAATAGAGAAAGTCTCGTGAGATCATTCTCCCAATCTACCCAAAGAGATGAGCCTAAGGAGATACTAAGGGAGAAAGAAAACACAACTAAGGGTAATGATATGGCAAATGCACAAGTTTTACCTAGTCATTTTTCGTTGCTGGGCTCTCTGAGTAATACAATGCCATATACTTCTTATTACAATTTGGAAGCAGCAAATGCATATTTATCTCAAATAGGTGTTCGTTCATCTCATTCAAATGAAGCTCAAGCTATGTCTATTCCATCATCGCGAAATCTACCACTCGAGTCTCAGATAGTTTTTTGTCCACCGGGAATTATGCCCTCAATGTTTCAATCCAATGTTACAAACCCCATGGAGTTCAATGCCAAACAGTTTGGCCAGTTGCAAATGGTGAATTCAGTCTCACAAACCCCACAGTCTAATTTGGAGATAAATTCTCTTCACCTAAGCAGTCCTCAGGAAAGACCTTCCAGTGAGTTCTAAGACGAAGAGTTTCATTCTGGGCATGAGTGTTTCTAAGTTAAATCGACATCATATTTCTTCTTTTTATGTCAAGCTTGGTTGGCCAACTTCATAAGTATGCAGGTAAGTGTGCATTCACTTCTAAATTAGTTCTTATGTACTCAACCTACTTAATTTGTTGTTTTTCTTTGGTATATGAGAGTGACCACAGATTTGCTTTGTATAGAAAATAAAGTTTCTGTACTATAGGTTGCAGTGGCATTATTTCTTTTACTTCAAGGTGAGCATGGTTGATTATCTACACTTCCCTGGCTATATAAGCTGAATAAATATTATTGATTTTCTACAAATTGTGATAGCTGTCATGTGATTTCACTTCCTAATTTTGTAATTAGTGTTTATGCTTAAGGTGGAATAACTGACTATTTTCTGGTGAATATCGATCGTTAAATGGTTTTGTCAAAACAATGTTGCTTTTCTGGTTCTCGCATCCTTTATCCTTAGAGGAGAAACAAAACCCTGTGTATATTTTGTTCTAATATGAGTTTTTCTATGTCTGCTTATTCTTCATGATTCTATGTGTTTATATGTGCATGCGTGTTTCTGTCTGTGTAATTGTTATCATGTATTAGAGAGATATAGCTCTGAAACACATTGAATCAAAAAATACGATTCATGTAGTTGACTTAAATTTGATAAAGACTTTATTGTTGTTGTTTTTTATTTGTGTGTGTGTGTGTGTGAAAGAGAGAGAGAGAGAGAGAGAGAGAGAGAGAGAGAGAGAGAGAGAGAGAGAGAGAGAGAGAGCAGAGAGTAGAGAGAGAGAGAGAGAGAGAGAGAGAGATCAGAGAGAGAGAGAGACGGAGTTAGAGATAAAGAGAGTGTCAATTTGAGATTTAGAGATATAGACGGATATGTGTGTTTATGTATATGTGTTGTGTAGATGTCATCAAAGATTTGTATATTCCATACACTTCTTAAGTGGAGATATCTTAACCCTATATAAAGTAATAGACTACAGTTGTCATGAGGAAAATTATCATTTCCATACCCTAGAAACAAGTTAAGAAGAGTGAAGCCTTCTATTATCGGACTCCTTAATACTTTTTATATATTATTTTGTTAATTGTTTTTTTTGAAATCAAGATATGCTACCATATATGAGTTTAACTAATTAACCATGTTTCTTTTAAGAAAAAAATTGGCGCGGGGAGCTGTCTAGTGAAATAGCAGATGTTTACAAATGGTAGGGACTTAATTAAAACTAGTACATGTTTTGCTGTAGGGGACTAGCTAGCTGTTTCATTGGAGAAATCTGGTCCGTAGCAAGTAATTGTTGAGAGGTAGCTATAGCTGCGTGAGATCCAAGGTTATGAAAGGAGTCATATATGGCATGTGGGGTGCAAAGTGTGCAGGAAAAAAAAGAGTTGCAGATTTTTTGAGGCTGCTCCTATGTATTGCTTTCCATTACAGCAGCTCAGGCCCCTGTAGGGTTCATGTGTAGAGTTGTGGTCCTTAATTATCATCAAGGGACCACCCTCTAATTCACATCGCATGGTTCTATACTTTACTCTTTGATCTTTCTGTATGTGTCTAGTTTCATCAAAAAACTTAGATGTAGTCTTCTGTTTGTACAAGAAACAAAAAGTTATCTGTATCCTTTTTACTTCAAAAGCTTAAACTAGTTTGCTTACATACCTATAAGGATTTTAGTTTCTCGCATGCAAGAGGGTGATGTTGGGGGGGCCAATTCCTTTATGTTGCTTAAATAAAAGGTTTAATTTGTTTAATATAGTACTACGTACATACTTTTGACCTTTTAACATCATTTTGAATGCATATATACTTTGACATGAACCAAATTACTTCTAATCTTTTTCCACCTAGTTAAAGACCACTGATTGGTCGTGTTAGGGCATTGTTTCATCCTCCCAAGTAGCTCTAAAAATTTTCAAAATACGTTATTATACAATATGTTGTACGACAAGTATTTATAGTATAGATGTGCAGGCTAGCTGGAAAGATTTTGTAATGCTTTACAGGCTTTGCCTCACAGTTATGGAGTACCAAAGGATGCCATACTGGGTGGACATGAGATGCACATCCCGGAAAAACACGAGAGCCATTCATATATGTTCATGTAATATATACACATGTAGCATGTATGTTGTGTACTCTCTATACGAATTATAAATGTAAATTAAATTAAATACATCAAATATCTTTTGTCAAGTTACAAAAATATGTACAATTCTATAGTAAAGCTAATAAATAAGTGTAGATAATTGACATGTAGTACACAGTCGTGTGGTCACTGCACTAGAAAGACACGACACCACCGCATAAGACACCTATGATTGTATCATTATGACTAAGATTATTAACGAGCCAATTTGATTAGGATTTCCAAATAATAGTCCCTAAATCTTTCATATTTTGAAATTATTCTCCAAATCTTTAAGTGATTTGAAAATAGTCCTTCCAGTTAGAGGATGATTGAAACGGAGAAAATATTTTGTCATCTTCAATATTTTTGGAGTGTATATACCAGTTATACTAATGTGCATTCACTCAAACCCCAAAATACATTGTTGGACCACAAATAGGTGAATGATTCTAAAATATTAGACTTAAATTCATTTATTATGAACCTGATTTTGGTGGATTTCTCGTAGGGGGCATAATAAATATGATGCACTAAAGTTGTAAAAAAACATTTATCAAGTTATAGTCTAGACTCTAGTTACAATATCAATCCCACAAGAAAGGTGTGTAGGAAAATTCTAAATTAAATCCTAAAAATGTGTGTGTGGACGAAAAGGAGTGAAAATGTAAAGATATAGAGAACGTGTGATTACTTGCAAATACATGAAAACTAGAACAAGAGGGTAGAAAAAGAGTGAACAAATAAAAGAAAATAAAGAGTAAACATGGAGGAGAAACAAGAAAATAGAACAGAATAAAATCAAAAAGAGAAAAATAATAAAAAAATAGTAAAATCAAAATAAGTAAAAGATGAAGGAAATCAAGTAGAGGAGATAGGAACCTAGAATTAAATCTACTAGTTGATTTCGTTTAGGATTTTTGAGTTACTCTCTTTTTATTATCGTTTACTTTAGATCTACTAAGCATATATAATCAAAGTATTAAAGAAAAAATAATCTATTAAATTATCATCAAGTAAAACTTTATTCATGGGAAGAATAACAACAAGATAATAATTCTAGAATTTATAAACATAACCTATCAAACCACTTAAGATAAGCATAAATTATCAAATTCTTCATCTACTAATTAGTTCTCTAGTTGATTATCCTACATATGATTATTTTAATCATAAGAGAGCACACAAACTATAAATGAAATCAAACTAGCTTCATACAATTCTATAATTTCTATAAGATTTAGTTACTCATTTTAGAAAATAAAATATAGACTAGAAAGCATAAAAGAAAGATATTTAAATTACAATAAAAATAAAAAATAACTATAAAAATAAGAAAAAGAATAAGAAAATATAGATCTATAATATCAGCATAAAAGAAATCTAACTAACAAAATAAAAATAAATCTACCTTATAAAATAAAAATACAATAAACTAAATTTTAAAATAAAGAGAAAAATAAAAACTTACCTTGCAAGAGGTTGGCTTATTGAAAGCAGATCTTCATCTTTATCAATAAAGAAGAAGAAATAAAATTGAAAAAGAGGAATAACATTTTTTATTAATGCAAACTTAAATGTTTTCAATTTGGAAAAAAACTAATTAAAGGTCCTCCTCTCCAAAAAGGACTTTACGAAAAATTTTCACAACCCAAACCCCTCACCCTCCACTTCTATTTATAGCCTACATCAATTAACAAGAACCATTAGATTTAGTTTGAGCTCTAAGAAATAAATCTAAACCATACACTATTTCTATAACAAACCCATTGATTTGCTAACACTACAAGAAATTATGTCTTTAACAAAGCGATTTCCCTTCGTTAAAGAGCTAAAAACCTTCATTGTTGTATGCCAACAACAAGAAAAAAAATCTCTTCGTCACTCATCGTTAAAGCCTTCTTCGCTAAAGTGTCACGAATGTTATAATACTCGTTGTTATAAAGTCTACAACGATGGAACATATTACCGTCATTCATATCTGCGGTGGTAATTATCACCGTCGTTACCATCAGTGACGGGGTTTTTTTCCCGTCGTTACTGTAAAATAATGGTTTTTCAATCCCGATGTTCTTGTGTAATGATGGTTTCGTACTTCTGTTATTATTGTGCAACAACGGGTAACATCCCCGTCGTTGAAGACCAATTAATGACTGTTGGCTATTGTTGTGGAAGTCCTCATAGTGGGTAATTAGTAACCTATCAACGATGGTGCTTTCGCTTTGTTGATGAACTAAATACGGTTTATAAAACCGTCATTGTAGACTATAAATTTCTAATATACATTAATGATAATTTTTCCATTCATAGATAACTATCATAGAAAACCTTCATATTATTCTCAACGTGACACTGAGATTCACACCACAATATATTAAAAATACCCAATAATTAATAAAAGGGAAAATAAAAGCTACATTCATTAATAACATCAATAAATAAAATTCCACCATCCTCAAATATTCAAAACTAATAACAAGAGTTAATATCCAATTGTTCCAAAGAAAAATACGTGAAACTATCTAAAGCAAATTAAATAAAAGTTTGGGAAAGACACATCCTTTCATCTCTAATCATTGTCAAAAAGAAGACTCGGTCTACCCCCCCTCTCCTAACCTTGGATAGCCTGAAAAATAAAAAAATTACATAATTAAGAAATATCAATTAAGCAAATATTATCTTAGTAAGTAAAAATCGTATTTTGTCTAGTGCAAGTAGTCAATCATAAAAGTATATAAGACATTTTACAAAAATAATTATCTAGTCCTGCACATGTTCTCGAAAAAAATCACAAAGATATGCATATGAACTGGACTATTAATAGTATGCAAGAAGTTGACACTCAATTTAAATCTGAAATTATGATGTCTAAATTGGAAATCAGTATTGGTGAATGTAATCTATTACACATCAACTATCGAGAAATAAGATTTCAAAGGATTATATCATATTTTACCTAAGCATCATATGTTTTGAAAATCAATGTTTAAATTTTTTTTAAAAGTTGTCTGGTCTTTTGCCCCTTGAAACGTGATTAAAAACATAATGGAGTTTAGAGATAGATGAAGGAAGTTATTAACAATACAGGTAAGTTACTCATTTAGACAAGGTGCAATTAATGCCTACCATAGCTTGATTAAATCTCTCTATTGAAGATACTTTTTTGACTAAAAACTCATGGAAGAGTAAATTGTAGGGCCTAAATTTCTTATCGGACAAATATAAAACTCTTTCGCAAATGATTTCGCGTACCTGTTTTTTTATCCTTTAGTCCAAAAGAAAACATATTTCTCTATTTATCCTATAACCTATGCACAAGGTTTAGAATCAAACAGGCAACTAGAGTGAAAGGCTAATGCCCTACACAAGAAGAAAATCAGAACAACATTTATGAGTGAAAACGAATAAAGTAAAACTTCATGAAAGGAAATAAAGAAAAATTCCATTAGTAACTCTATCTTATATGAATGATACATTGGATCCATTAGTAGATCTATCTTATATGAATGATACATTGAATTCAACCAATCTAAACTTATACAGAAGGTTATGGATTTGACGTGCAAGAATACTAAACTTGTACAGCTAGTTTGTTTAGCATACAGTTCAATCTATGAGATTGTCCATGGAATTTAGGGCTCGTGTCAGGATAGACTTGCCAAGACGAGTGAAAGAAAGAGCGACGATGTCAATGACAATTTGATATCGGTCGTCGATTTGTAGAAGAATATGTTCTTTAATGGGCATCCGGACCCTGATATTTGGTGAGGCCTTCCGAAGAGACGAGGTTGAGCAATTTTGAAACAATATGTTCTTTTACGGGCACAAACAAAACTTTCATTATCTACTTTCAAAGTCTAACAATCTGAAACAATGTGTTACAAATCAAACTCCAAAATTTGAAGATACAATCAATGCTCTGAAGCCTTTACATGGTAAATGCACCATGCTCGCAGTTGTAGAGAGAGAAAGAGCCTGTTTTGGTCCTCTACCTTTAGCCAAGATGCCTCTGAGACAGTCCAAGGAGCCTAATGGAGAGAAGCATTTTGTGTCAAAGAAGAAGAAGCCTATGCAGAACTCCAGCAATCAGCAGCAAAAGTTCGAGACCGGTACTCCGCAGACTCTCAAGGAAGCTAGATGTCTTGTGGCACCCTTACCGCCAGTATCGAGCAAGGGAATTGTGTTCTGTCATCGGCCAGGGTTTGGCAAGATTGGAACTAGATGTCTTGTGAAAGCTAACAATTACCTTACTGATAATCACATTTTATTACAATTTTTATACCCTAATTATCTATTTTATATGAATAAATATACCACTAATAATTGCTTTTATCTGTTAATTG